TGGAAGATAGGAAGGCCTGGCGTGCTCTGGTCCAAGGGGTCATGAAGAGTCGGACACGACTAAACGACGACGAAGGTAGTTCTGCTGTGACTATCCAGATTTGCAGGCAGCATGGTTACATCAGAGTTACCTTAAAAACAGCAAACAAGGGGTGATTCGTAATTTCCTTCTTTCTCTCTGTTGATTCTTTGCCCTAGTGTTAGGGTCTCCTCAGAGCCCTAGCACTAGGAACAGAATGGGAAGTGAAGAGGAAAACAAGCAGATTCAGTCACCAGGTTTAAGGAGGGCAGGATTCAAATGGCCCTCACTTTCCCTGTTGCCCCACCTCTTTCACTTATGCTCTAGCTGGATGGAATGGCTTCAAATGAAACAGCTACAAACCCTTTCGCATCACTCAAGTGATCACAGCTTCTGAACTGATGCAAATGCATTAAATTCCTATTCACTTTCAATCATGCCAAACTTGACAAATAAATAGGAGTATTACAATGTGTTGTTGAGCCCTTAGTTGAAGCCCTTTTTAATTCACAAAATTATTTTTTATTTAAATAAAAAAGAAAAATGCAAGCAAACAAAAAACACCTTTTAAAAAAGACTTTATATACATTTTTTAAAAACCTTATCCACATTATGTATTTATTCCTAGTCTATATTTTTATAGCTACCCCAGCATCCCATAAGATAGTATGTCAACATTAGGTGTGTCAGTCTAGAGAAACTAGCACAGAACTTCCAAAAGGTTACTCTTCAAGACTACAGCTCCCAACCAGTGCCCATGCTGGTTAAGGGATTGTGGGAGTTTTAGTCCCATACTACTACCACTGCTAGGACTGTGGGTGGCGCTGCAGGTTAAACCACAAAGCCTCTGGGCTGCAAGGTCAAAAGATCAGCAGTTTGAATCCATGCGGTGGAGTGAGCTCCTGTCGCTTGTCCCAGCTCCTGCCAACCTAGCAGTTCGAAAGCATGTAAAAATGCGAGTAGATAAATAGGTGGGAAGGTAACCCTGGCCACATGACCACGGAAACTGTCTACAGACAAATGCTGGCTCTACAGCTTGGAAATGGGGAGGAGTACCACCCCCTAGAGTTGGACCCAACTGGACATTTGTCAAAGGGAACTCTACCTTTACCTTACTACCGCTACTACTACTAATTTTATTCTGTAAACCACCCAGAGTAGTTGGTTTTCACTAATGGAGTGGTATAAAAACCAAACCAAACTACATAAAATAAATAATCAGTTCCACACACCCTGCTGCCCCCAAGATCTGTTCTGGCAGCATATGCCAGATCCTTTATTCTTCACACATGACAATGGCTTGCTGCAGGAAGGTGCTTCTGGTTTGCAAGGGCACCATGGCAGATGGGCTGGGGATAAATTGCATTGCTGCCAATACAACAAGGATCATGTGACAGCAGGTCCCACAAAATGGATAATTCTATGGCTTGGTCCTCAGTCATTCAGGCATACAATGAATCAGCATTGCTCCCTCCCATCACCTTGACAAACCACTTTGGCTTGAGCATTTATTGGTGCTGACAAGGTGCCAGGTTCTTTGCTGCTTTCTAGGTTTCCACTCCCCAGAAACTCTGGAAGAGGGAATCTGGGGTGGTTCCCACTACCCCATTACTCTGCACACCACCAGCACAGCATTTGGTTACCTACAATTTTTCCGCATAACCAAGACATCGCCACATTCATCCTCAGATGGCAGGAAGATTTCAGGCACCACTATGAGAATCTTGCGCTTTGGAGGAGGGTTGATGTTCCAAGTGCACTCCACATTTGCAGGATAGTTTCCAGGGTAGTTGGGAGACTCAATATAACCAGTGTATTCACCCAACTCCCCTCCACACTGTCGATCTACAAGGAAACATGCAGGGATTACTACAAAATTTCTTTCTTTCTTTATGTATGTATTTATTAGATTTCTGTCCCAGCCATCTAGACCAAGGGTCTACTCTGGGCAGTTACATCAGTAAGAAACCAAAACTAATTGGTTGGCAAGGGCAATTTGAGACATGGCCTTGGCACTGCGAGGTGACAGAACTATACAAACCCCTCCACATCACTCAATATGCCTTATAATGCATATATATGCATGTACGTGTTGTGAGTCAACAGAGAGAGAGAGAGAGAGACAGAAGGATTTGTTCATGAACAAATCTACTGCACATCACTCAATATGCCTTATAATGCATACTGTATATATGCATGTATGTGTTGTGAGTCAACAGAGGGAGATTGAGAGAAGGATTTGTTCATGAACAAATCTACTAGCATAATGAAAAGCAACAGGAGGTCAAGAAAACAGACTCCAAGGATATGAAAGTAAATCTAATGAGTGACTTCTCTATATAGCAATATCAAGTGCACATTCCTCTCTCCCTCTGAATTCTACACAGCTATAGATAGTGAAGCATACTTTTGCACTGTGATACGGAGGTTGACCCATCAAAGTCGGTGGTGGTATTCCCAGGGCATGTAATGCAGTAGTTCTGACGAAAGTCTGGCTGATATGTTCCTACAGCACAGCGGATGCAGCGATGGACACTGGTGTTATAATAATGGCCTGGGGAGCATTGAACTATATATTGAACAGAAGAAAAAAGTGTTAGAGACCAGCAATCCAGCTACTCAACCATTTGTTGAAGATCAGTAAATATTACTATAACAGAAAAGTCATTTTTAGCATTTTGCTAGTGGCATCTCTTTTATTAGGAAGGCAGTACTGGGCATTAATTCTGTAAGTATAATGAGATGCCTGTTAAACATGATTATGAAATAGGCTCTCAGTCTAGAAGTTAATTATTTCTGTACATTGATCCCAATAACATCATTGTTCTCATCCAACATACATGATGAATATTTTGCAAAAACCCAACATTTACAATGCATGTGTCCTATTTATTAATTTATCCGTCATCATCCATTTGCATAGCTCTTTCAAATGTTTCCCGTGCATTATTGATTATAACATTTAAAACAACCATTTAAGGTTAGGGGTTGAGGAAGAATGGTTTGCCTAAAGACATCTACTATGTTCATGATTGATGCAAAATTCAAACCAGGGACATCATGGTTCATAGTTCAGTTTCTTAGCTACTAGGCTGCCCTCCAGCCTTTCCATCTCCAGCCACACTATTCTGGCAGGCTGACCATCTGAAGTGCTAACAGCTGTTGGAGAATACAGACATACTGAACATCTAAAGTGCTAGCAGGATTCACAACTGGAAGAGATGAGGGTGATGAATCCACTAAAGACAAAATGAACAGAGGGGAATGGCCTGCCTGTGCTCTTTCCCTCCCCTAGGTACTCAGCACAGGAACCAAGTGCATTCTCAGGTCTCTGTTTACAGCCCACAATATACCTTTAGTATCACAGTCCTGGAAGGAAATGGCTCCATCATGCTTGGTGTTCAGTCCTCCGCCACATTGGAAACACAAAGCTCGGCCAGCTTCAGGTTGGTAGGTGCCACGTGGACATGGTTGGCAGGGTCTGAAACCATCTACAGAGTAGTGGCCAGGGGGACACTGACCTATGGGCCATTCAGGAGGAAAAAAAGGTACTCATACTCATTAACTAGATGAAAACCCCACATGTTTCAATTCTAATATATCAGCCACATGCAACATGCAGTATATAATAAATGGAGCCATGGGAGAGCACCATGGGAGCCATCCACCATCCCAGAAATTGCCTAGGGGCAACTTTTGTACTGGAATGTAATCATGCCATGGGATGGAGGAGAAAAGCCACCATCACGGCCATTTATCCAAGTCCTGGAGGTGGAGCAGATTTGGATAAAATGGGTAATGAAGCCACACGATTCAGTGCTTACAGCATCTCAAAACTGAATCTTTTATTTTACTCATTGCTGCATTACAGAAGAGTTTGTAATTCCAGAAGAGTTGTCAGAGAGCATACTTTCTTGCCTGTCTTTGTCACCCATACTGCCCTACTTCTGACTGCAATTAAACACAACAGTTATACCCCTCTCGGTTTCCAAAATTTCACAAATAGTTTGAAATATATGTATAGCTATGGCCTCTTGTGAATCAGAGGCCCTTTTCTGGAGGGCACCTACAGATACTACTGTAGAAAATTCAATGCTTACATAGTACTACTATATGCTACTACTATTTACATGCTTACATACTAGCTACTATAATGCCAGGTACTTGCACCTCTTGTGTCCTTTTCTGGCATGGAAGGGGAACAATGAAGTCATTTTTGTGGATGCACTTAATTCCATTCCCTTTGCTAGGGCCACTAATGGGTCCACATTCCTAGTGCTACAGTTGCCATTTCAGGGTGGGTTTTTAAGTATACTAGAACACTGAACCTCAGCTACAGGCTTAGGTTATCCCTGTACCTGCACAGGCGCTTATATTGGTTGCTCCAGCTGGCCCATAAGCATCACTTCCAGGGCAAAGGTCACAGGAAAGCTGGCCTTCTTTCTCCTGGTACGTCCCTGGAGGGCAAGGGACACACTGCTCCATCTGGCCATGGTAATACGTTCCTTGCAGGCAGCTAACTAAGAGAGAGGCAAATGTGCTAGTGACACAGGAAAAAGACAACACCCATGAGAATACTTGTCTTTCTTGTAGGACAGAGACCCTAGGATGCCCACCTGCCCAAGTTCCAGTGAAAAAGTTCAGGTCCTCAAACAGATGAGCATGGCAACTGTATTATCCATAAGCACATGCGGCTAATATACATGCTAGAGTTGGCAACAAGGAAGTCAGAGCAGCGGTGTGGCACTATAGGCTTGCAGTTAATTTGCAAATGGCTCTTTCAACTCTTCCTTTCCTCATTCCTGAAGGGATTCAGGTTTTTTCCTTACCACACTTGGATCCCAGTCTCTGTTGTCCTGGCCCACAGTTCTCCTGCCTCTCAGGAGTCATGCTCAGCTTCCGTGCCACCTCATATTCCATTCCTGAAAAGCGGATCAAGAATCGTTCCTGGTTTATGGATTTTTTCAAAGCTTTGATAGCAGACTTCAATTTTTTCTCCACCTTCTGACGCACACAGTTCAGATTGCAGCTGGCTGGAGAGGAAAGGAGACTGCTGAAACCATGCTCAAAAATGAAGAAAGTCATTTCCAGCAGTTTAAAAGAACATAGGAAGCTATCTTAGACTGGGTCAGATCATTGGTCCATCTGGCACTCTTATCTCTGATTGGGAATGGCTATCCAAGATTTCAGGTGGGATCAGTTTCTAGCCCTGATGTCTGGTAGTTTCCCATGTAAGTACTTGATCCTATTGAAACCAGACAAGATTTGTATCTTCATAGTGGATCTGAACTATGCCCCTTTAATTCAACACTGTCTGATCTAGTCTGATTCTAGAGAAAAGGGCCACAGCTCTGTGGAAAAGTATACATTTTATATTCCAGCTTTGCCATTCTAAGATTAGTATTATCTATTTCATTATTCAGAAGATCCAGATGCAATTACTGGAATCTCCGGTTAAGAGGATCTCAGGTAGCACAACCTTTATCTGAGACCTTAAAGAGCCACATCCAGTCAGAGTGGACAGTATTTGGCAGTTTTAGAATTTGGAAATGATACTTCTTTAGACTATAGTTCTTATAATCCCTCAGTCATCATAGGTACTGTCCATGCTCACTTTGGGATTTGAAGGACTGTGGTGAAGAAAGGCCATCTTTATAGCCTGGACAATGAATTTTCCAAGCTCTTGAAACCTTCATTCCTTCACTGTCCCAGTTCCATTAATTTAAGCAACATTTGCAGACTCCATGGGGTTCACTAAGATATACAGTGGCGCCTCGCTTAATGATTACCTCATTAAATGACAAATCCGCTTGACAATGAGGTTTTTGCGATCGCAAAACAATGTTTTAATGAGCAAAATTCACTTCCCGACGATTGGTTCCCTACTTCGGGAACCGATTTTTCACATTACGACAATCAAAACAGCTGATCGTCGGGTTTCAAAATGGCCACCCGCTGTGTAAAATGGCTCCCTGCTGTGCTTTAGGACAGATTTTTCACTGCACAGGCATCGGAAAATGGCCACCCTATGGAGGATCTTCACTGGACGCTGAAGTATTTAGCCCACTGGAACGCATTGAGTGGTTTTCAATGCGTTTCAATGGGCTTTTTTATTTCGCTTGATGAGGATTTCGCTCTACAGCGATTTCGCTGAAATGGATTATCCTTGTCAAGCGAGGCACCACTGTAAATCCAATCCATTTGCTCCTTGCCTGTCATGTGCTTCTTGGTGAATATCAGAGTATCTGCAGCACAATCTAAGCTCATAACTGTGTTTGTTTTTTTTAACTACAATTTCCAGAGCTGACCTGCCACAGTTCCTCATCACTTGGCTACTACAGTACATGTTCAATTTAGATCGTGTAGGTATTCTCCAATGTACATACAATAAACTTAAAGTTATTCATTTGCTGTGTGAAGAATGAGCTCTCCATGGAGATCAGTGGCCACCAGCCTTTTTGGTAACTGTGCACATTGTCAATTATGAATTCTAGGTCACATACAGCACTTGAATTGTTTTGGCCTTGGCTGCTTCCAGACAGATGGCTCCTAGAAGTATCCAATAATTCTTCCTCTGTTGTGAGGTCTAAGTGGAACTGCAAATGACTTCCTACATTAATGGGCTTATTGTGCTTCTTCTGCAATTTTCTGTACATACCACAAGGTGTGACATGGATAGATGCATCCATGTGCATGAATGGGAGCCTTTAAAACTCAGAACACACTAATTATAACTCTTGTGATGGGTACAATTTTATGATCCTTGATTAAAATGCTAATCTGATAATGGTTGAAATTCTATTCAAGCAGTTACATTGCAGAAGGTTGATGATGTTCACCCAGGTTAAATTAACTCTATTAATGTGTTAATTAGCCAGTGTAGAGTGGTCGTTTGACCAGATAGGCGGGGTAAAAATACAATAAAATAAATAATGTTCAGAAATGAACACTTCCTACTTCTGTCCCATAGTGCCCACAGCTCCGGTGTAATCCCTTTCATCATTTGGAAACCATGGAAACTGCAGGATGGGAAGAAGAAGCCTTTAATTACTGAAAATCACCAATGCTGAGATGACATTACCATGGGTAGCAATTTTGGATGATTAAAGACTCCCTCCTCCTGTCCATTTTATTCTGTGGGTTTGTTGTTTTGTTTTAGATTTTGCATTGTTCATTGTATTTATGTGTTTTATGATTTTAACTTTAATTTTGTGAATCAGCAGAGAACTTAGGCTATGGGGCAGTACAGAAATACAGTAAAAGGCTCATGAACCATAAAGTTGGTGTCATATGGATGCCTCATAAAAAGCAGGTGAACAATGTATGACAATTTCACAGAAAACACCTAGTGTGGAAACACCCCCATCCATTTTGGGGGAGCCAAGCCTTCTTCATCACCTTCCCCACCTGTGACCTCTTCAGCTTTGATTTCGGCTTCAAATTCCAGCGTGATGCGTGTCACCTCCTTGTTGGGAGAGTTGCGAGCCCGGCGACCCTTGCCTTTCTTTGATGAGTCACATTTTAAGTTTACAAAAGTCACCTGGCAGTCTGAGCAAGGGGCTGGACCACCTAAAAGATATGACAAGGTGACATAATCCTTCCAAGAAGCAAAAACTCTTCAAAATTCTACCAACCATCCCTTGCTGTTAAAAAGAGGAGAGCTGTTCTCCCTTATTCCATATCTCCAGATTACCACCTATGTCCCACAGCAGCTAAGACAGGTCCTTGAGGAGGACTACACAGTGATACATTCTCCTAGCAGTTATCTGCAGAGCTCTTGTGGCTATCACCCCAACTGAATAATATTATCTACTGTGCAAAGTATCCCTGTCTCACATTTGGGGCTTATCTTACTTTAACGCTTCTACTCTCTGTTCTTTCCTTCTCAGCCTCAACTCTGAAGAGGGCACAAAACCACAGTTTAGAACTAACATGTTGATTTAATGTGCTAGTTTTAAAATAATTACTTGTGTGTTAAACAGGAAAATGCATCTAAATTTGAGAGAGAAAGTTTTGGAAGTAACATGCAGAGTTTAGAATGTGAAGTTTAAAAATTAACTAGTTGAAGTTAAATATTAGAAACTGGGAAGATAATTAATGTTCAAACCTGAAAACATTCAATTTGTTAAATTAGCTCTATGAATGTGCTAATTAAATATCTGGCTTCCCATTTTGAGCAGAGAGAACACATGTTGGTCACACTTTCCTCACCACAAGGGAAAGGGGTCTATATTTGCTTTCAAAAACAAAACAAAACAAAAAAACACCTAAATTTATATTAGATGGCCTGAGCAGCACCCTTTACACATACAGTGGTGCCTCGCTTAGCGATGTTAATTGTTGCAGCAAAAATCGTTGCTAAGTGATTTCATCGCTAAGCGATTTAAAAAAGCCCATAGAAATGCATTAAAACGCATTTAATGTGTTCCTATGGGCTTCAAAACTAACCTTAAGCGAAAATCCTCCATTGCAGTGGCCATTTTCGGTACCTCTAAAGCGAGGCAAAACAGCAGGCGGCCATTTTGTTTACCCGGTGGCCATTTTGGAACCGCCGATCAGCTGGCCGAAAATGGGGGCTTTGCGATGATTGCTTCCCTGTGATCATCGCAAAATGAAATTTCCCCATAGGGGCCATCGCAAAGCGATCACTCTTGCGATGGCAAAAAGTCCATTGCAAAGCGATTTCATCAATATATGGAGCGATCGCTATGCGAGGCATCACGGTACTTGGATCTAACCTAGAATCCCTTGTTAATGCAGCCAAGACACTATGGCATTTCTCCAGGCTTCTGGAAGTTGTGGTACCCAGTGTGGTGTAGTGGATAGATTGATGGTCTAGGTCTCTGGAGACCAGAGTTTGAATCTCTTTTTGGCCATGGAAACTCACTGGAGGAGTAGAACTATTAAAATTACTCTTAAATATATCACTTGTCTTGAAGGCCCTATTGAGACTGCTATAAATTTGTCCCAGCATAACTAACTGGAACAAACTGGAGTCATAATCCAAAGCTATCAAGGTCTAAAACCATTACTCTATAAAGAACTAATTAGACACTCTTAGCCCCACTCCTTTAATACAGCACTTTAGAAAACTTCACCTGAAACTATGCTTCTGAGTCTTATAAACCAAGTTCACTTATCCCTCCCAACTAGTACAAATCTTTTTGTAAAGGGAACTATAGTCTCATTACCTTTTGGAGATGCAGAATGTGGACTGATATTTCACTCATTACAGAGGGGCATACACACTCAATTTTTTTTAATAAATAAAACTCTCATTAATGTTATTTTTAAAAACATTATTTTGAAACATTAGATTTCAAGAATTTTATCTGGCAGTGGTACGAAAAAGCAATGAGTGTAACATTAACATATTAATCTTAACATTGTATTTCCAATATTTGGCAATGTGTTATTGTTAACATCATTAGTTCAAAAATGTAACTCTTTAGATACATTATTTGGATTGTCCTCCTGCTTGACGTTAAAGTAACACATTAAATCAATGTACTATTTCCAAGTTCTAGTCTTAGCACTCCCACCAAATCACTGACTTGAAGTGCCTTTCATTTAAATAGTGAGTGAAGATAAACTGCACCTCAGGTTTCAAGCTCTTACTTTCTAGAAGCCATGCCTGTCTTTTAGTGGGAGAATCATATAGCCTGAATTTGTAGTGTTAACATAGTTCAGTGATCATGATACCACTAAAGGGAGAGCATTCATGAAGACTACTGGCCATGAATGGTAGTCATGTGTATCTAGCAGTACCTTAAACTGTTTGGTTGTTGTAAGATCTTGTGGAATGTAGGCCCTCTCATCAAATGCTTGATCAGCCCTCTGCACCTGATTAAGTGGTATCATAGACTGATGACATCCACAAAAAGTTTAGCCCCAGTAGAACTCGCTAGTCTTTTAAGATGCCACAGATCTTTTGTGATAGTTTTTCACAAGCACTATGCATCATGCTCAGTAAGCAGTTTCCAGGATTCCTAGGACTTGAGGTTGGAAATGCTCCTGGTAGAAGACTGTGAGAAGATAGACAAAAGAGAGAGTACCTCACCTAGTGCACCATTCCTGCTTGCCTCATCTTGCTTGCTTTTCATGCGTGGGTGCAGGTGGCATTTAGCGTCCTTGATTTTGAAGGAGGCCTTTTGTTTTATTGGAGCAGTGGCAGTCTCTAAAAGAAAAAGCAGGTGCTAAGCATCAAGAGAGCAGGCCTGGTTTAGGGAGGAGGGCTGAGGGCAAACAAGACTAAGCTCACCAACACAGGGATAGCTATTATTGCTAGACTTTGGTGGAGGTCCCTGCCTCAGGATTGGTGTCCCACAGCTGACTGTGTAGCTGTTGTCGGATTCTGTGAAGAGAGAAAAAAAGCAAATGAGGATCCAGAGAGGTATGCAGCCATATATTTCTAAATACATGCCTGCATGGGCCTGTATTTGCAAGCCCAGCCCAACCCAATCACCAACTGTATTTCTGAAAGATTAGCCCAAGCCTGATCCTGCCCAGAAGTGATAATGGATGGAAACAGTCCTGTTTTGTCCAGAACCCATTACTATGCTGTTTGCATGATTTGTGTTTGGAGAAATCCCAGTGCAATAAAAGCACATCAAAAGAATGTGGTTGATGCCAAAGTGTGAATAACCTGAAATAACTCCCACAGCCTTGGAAGAGATTGGCATTCATGAGGAGAAGGTAGAACTAAATCTATGAAGACCAATTAAGACAGTCCCTTCAGCAGCACATGCCTCTGGAAAGCTATTAAGAAGAGCAACATTGAATGCCTGGAATGGCACTCTTAATAAGTACTTAGGGATTGAGGTTAGTGATAAATATAGCTTTGGAAAGCTCTTTTTTGGACTACAGGTCTCTGAATCCCTCAGCCATTGTGCCCCTGATGCTTGGATTATTTATAGAACTGCAGTTCAAAAAAGTATACAGTCGTGCCCCACTTAACGATTACCCCGTATAACGACGAATCCACTTCACAACGATGTTTTTGTGATCGCAATTGCAATCACAAAACAATGTTTTAATGGGTTTTTTTGCTTTGTGATGATTGCTTCCCTGCTTCGGGAACCAATTCTTCGCATTACGATGATGAAGACAACTGATCGTCCGGTTTTCAAAATGGCCGCCGGCTGCTCAAAATGGCCCCCCGCTGTTTTCTAGGACTGATTCCTTGCTTTACAGGCACCAAAAATGGCCACCCTATGGAGGATCTTTGCTGGACGAGCAGGTATTCAGCCCACTGGAACGCATTGAACGGATTTCAATGCATTTCAATGGGCTTTTTTATTTCGCTTGACAATATTTTCACTCTACAGCGATTTCGCTGGAATGAATTAACATCGTCAAGCGAGGCACCACTGTAAAATCCATGAGGGTTTCCTTTTGTGATAAGCTGAGTTAGACTGGGGAAGATAGGTACTGTTTCCTCCTGGCTGTGCCATATAAAGTGTGTTTAAATACTCACAGGATTCAAGTGAGTATTACATAGAAAGATGACTTGCAAGGTTTGCAGGGGCTTTTGACAAAGTGCCATCTGGTGGACTTCATCTGCAAACCTACCTGATGGCTGTGATAAGCATAGGTAGCTAGTTTCAATAGTAGTAGCGTCGCAATCTGCCTTGGGTATCAATGAACCACCATTTTTAATGTTCTGCTGTAGGAAATAGCATTGCTGTAGGATGTTGTCAAAGACTGAAATGCTAGAACACAGTCATTCTCTGCTGCCTGCAGAACTGATGTCAGCATCAAGTTCAGTGGGGACATTGGCTGCTGCCAAAGTATGATGAGCACTGGTGCAGGACCTATGCATGGGTTAAGTTCAGTACTAGCACAACATTATCATCCACAGTTCATAACACAGTCATGCTACTACAGGCCTGGTACCAAAATCAAAGCACAGATTCTCTAAGAAAGCTTTCTCCCTATGTAGTGTTCTCCAGATATTTGGAATTTCAAAGCCCCAGACAGCATAGTCATGGTCAAGAATGTTGGGACTTTTAGTTAAAATCATCTGAAAGAGAAGAGGTGAAGAAAAGCTGCTCTAGGAACGCATGGGGGAATAAGTGCCTATCCCCAGATACAAGCAAAGGGAACAGATAGCAGGACTGGGAAGCAGGACTGAACAAGTTCTCAAGTGCAAAGGAACAATGAGATCAAAGGTGACAGAATTTGAAAAAGTTATCTTTTGGGATTACAGCTGCCAGGATTCCCTAGCAGAATGCTGCATTGGCTGCCCATCCGATTCCGCATTGACTTCAAAGTGTTGATGCTCACGTACAAAGCCCTAAACGGTTTAGGGCCTCGATACTTGGCGGAACGCCTACTCCCACCAAGATCTACCTGTGTCACTCGTGTGAGCCAGGAGGTGAGGCTGAGGAACCTAACACCGAGGGAGGCCCAGAAGGAAAAGACAAGAAATCAGGCCTTCTCGGCGGTGGCTCCTCACCTCTGGAACAGCCTACCTCCTGAGATTTGCGTGGCCCCCCCGCTGGGTATTTTCAAGAATCAATTAAAAACATGGATGTTCCGGCAGGCCTTCCCATCAGATAATTCCTGATGCCCTTTTCTCCCTCTCCTATAGTTCCCCCATTCTGTTTAATATTTCTGTTATATAAAATTGTCTTATATGTATATTTATTGTATTATTTTATGTTGTTAGCTGCCTAGAGTGGTCCTGACCCGACCAGATAGGTGGGATATAATAATAATAATAATAATAATAATAATAATAATAATAATAATAATAATAATAATAATAATAATAATAATAATAATAATAAAAATAATAATAATAATACTCCCCAAATTGGCTGGAGAATTCTAGGAGATAATGGACTAAAAGGATAAATTTTTCTATCTCTGTTTAATGTGAAAATAATTTAAAAGCAGTTGATGAGACAGACAATAAGAGAGCTCAATAATGAGTCAATACCCAGGAATCTGCCAGATCTTGGAACTTCATGCCTTTGAAATTAACAAACAGGGGAGAGAAGGGGACAGATCTGTGATCCTACCTGGCAGAAAGCGAGCTTTGGAGGAGCAGGTGAGGGAGCAGCTGTCCTTCTTGCCATTCTTATTGCAGGTAAGTGTGGCTCGTGGAGATATGGCGCCAGCCATACATACCACCATCTCTGAAGAAGAAGCATTCACTGATAGCAATGTGCACAATCACTACTGAGCCACAATTTGTATCATCTTCCAAAAATTCAAAACAGCTTAATTTAACAAAGTGCTTACTTTGACATATAAAGCCCTAAATGGCTTAGGACCTGGTTACCTAAAGGACTGCCTTCTTCCATACGAGCCTGCCCGTCCTCTAAGATCAGGCCAGGAGCCCTTCTGAAGGTGCCATCCCTGAAATAGGTGAGGGGGATGGCATGTCAACATTGGGCCTTCTCGGCTGTTGCCACCCAACTTTGGAATGCCCTCCCTATAGAGATCCGCCTGGCTCCAGCACTTTTGGCTTTTTGGTGCCAGGCAAAGACCATTCTGTTTAGCCAGCATTTTAATTAAATAGTAGCTGGCCATATGAGCTGCAGGATTTATTAATATTAATGTTTTAATGACTGTTTTTAACATAGGATATTATTATAATATTATCTATTTTTAATGGTTTTAAAGTTTTTAAAGTTTTAATATTGTTGTACACTGCTCAGAGGCCACTGTTAATGGTGCAGCTAAAAATACAGTAAATAAATAAATTTTCAAGTGCAGATTTTGTGATGTAGCTTCTTAAGAATCTCACCTTTCATTTAAAAAAAGGACATAGCTCTAGTTCTTCCATTGTGCACTAGCGAAAAAAATTGGAAAAAAATCCATTTCCGCAAGACTCAAAACTGGATTTTTGAGTGAGCAAATTGTGGAAGTTCCCTGTTCTGTCCTCTCATTTTTATGTGAAATCCTGTCACCCAAATCATGGCTAATGGAAAGTGTCAGGGAACTTCAGTGTGTCCAAAACACAGCAGCCAGATTGCTGACTGGGGCTGGACACAGGGCTCGCATAACCCCCCCCCCCCCCGTTATAGCAGCTCCACTGGCTGCCTATTATTTCTGGGCACAATTCAAAGTGATGTTCTAACCTATAAAGTCTTAAATGGCTGGGGTCCAAGCTGTCTCAAAGACCGTGTCTCCCATTATGAGCTGGCTCAGCTGTTAAGCTTTTCTCTAAGTCCCACCACCTTCATAGGTGCGTTTGGTGGGGATACAGGAGAGGGTCTTCTCTGTTGTGACTCCCAGACTTTGGAACTCCCTCCCACAGGAAGCCAGATTGGCTCCATCTTTGCTGTCCTTCCACAAGCAGGCAAATACTTTTCTCTTCAGGCAGGCATTCCGTCAGTGACTGTCTGCCTGAGTGGGTTTTTAAAATTTATTGTTCTGCATTACTGCTTTAAATCTGTTTTTAGTATTGGTTTTGTTTACCATTTTTCAGAGTGGCATTGTTTAAACCTTTTTGATATTTGTATATTCATTGTTTTTAACTTTAAATATAGTCTTTTAATGATGTAAATTGTCTTGGGTCGTTTTCAAAGAGAAAGGTGGGGTAAAAATAAATAAATAAATAAATGTGAAGCTCTGCATTATTAGAAATCGCACAGCACCAGTGTGATACTGATATATGGAATGCCTTTTCCCACATCAATATAGCAAATAATTTAAAATGATGACAGCAATGCCATGCAATGAAGACGACATCTTTCTGTTCCTGATCATAAATACACCTTCTAAACATTCATCCATGATGGGCACAGGAGCGATAGATGTCACCCACATGAAACTTCCATCTCCTTAATTTCTTATCAAGAGTTTCAATAATTTTGACCCCAGCTACAACTTTGCTAGGATAGCTATACAGCACAGTGGCTTAGGTATAGATATTGAGAATTCAATTCTCTGCTCAGGAGAAAAGGCAGTTTGTGCAACCTTGGGTAAGTTGGACAATCCCAGGGCACCCAGAAGAAGAGAATGGTAAACCACATTCTGAGTGTTATATATCTAGAAAACTCTGGAAAGGGTCACAATCAACAGCATGTCATTACTATTACTAAAAGGTTACTTGCTCAAATGCATTTTGCCTCAAGGGGGCAGCATGATCTCAGCCCTTTTCACACTCACCTATACAGTCTTTTTTATTCCAATGAAGTTTGCACCCAGCAGGGCAGGTACACTCATAGCTGCCAGGCGTGTTTACACAGCCAAACTTGCAGCCTCCTCGGTTGATGCTACATTCATCAATATCTGCAGAGATACAAAAAGATGTAATTCACAAACAAATAGCTGCAATGCATTGCTTAGATCAGAGTCTCAGATCTGTAATCTGGACTAGAAACTGCCAGAGAGAGAATTTGTATTTAAGAAAGAAAGAAAATAAAAGAATGGGCAATATTAACACCTCTGTTAAGTCTTGTTTTTCCTCTGCCATCACTACTCATGGCACTTTATAGCCTAAGCAAAACAGGTAAGGATCTGCTCCAAGATGTAACACATTTTTCAACACAGAGTATGAAATACTGTATGTAGAGAGAGAAGGCTATCAAGGCAGGAATGTGAACAAACTGCAGCAATAAAAGGTGCTAATAGTGGGTTGATAGAGATATTTGCTGAGAAGTTTATTTATTTATTATTTATTACTTAAATGTATATACCACTCCCCAATCTCCTTCATGGATTGCTGCCTTGTTGTGGCAAAGGGGCTTGAGTAACTCAGAGAAGCTATGGGCTATGCTGTGCAGGGACACCCAAGACAGATAGGTCATAGTGGAGAGTTCCGACTAAACGCAATCCACCTGGAGTAGGAACTGGCAATGCCATTCCAGTATCTTTGCCAAGAATACCCCACGAACAGAAACAAAAGGCTAAAAGATATGACGCTGGAAGATGGGCCCCTCAGGTTGAAAGGTGTCCAACATGCTACTGAGGAAGACCGGAGGATAAGTACAAGTAGCTCCAGAGCTAATGAAGTGCTTGGGCCAAAGCTGAAAGGACGCTCAGCTGTG